TAATGGGATTGCAGATCTGGCAGTTATTTAATAGTTATTCGATTTTTATTTAACCTTATCTCCAACAACCTTAAAGATAACTACCTAAAAATCCTCAATTTCCCATTTTAAATCAAACTCAAACTACCAGATCCAATCTTATCTTCTACCACCCTAAGATCCAACCTCCTTGGAAATCCGTCTGGGCCGTTAAATTGTAAGCCAGCCCAGCCCAGCCCAAATCCAGCCTATTGATTTTCTTGATAATTGGGCTTTACCTTGACACGTGGCCTTACCCTATTGGTTTGTTTTAGGTGTAAACAATGCCCCCAACACTTGGTTTTATGAGAATAAATCCAAGTGTTTAAATTACCTTTCAGACTCCAAAGGCCACGTGCAAAATCTGCTAAATCCCAAGATGATTGCAGTAGGTATTCTCAACTTTTTCACAGCTGACTCTGTCTGAGCGCATCTAGCCATCTACAGCCAGTCATGGCCGCTCGATCAAACTTGCTCTCATTTTGGAATCAACACATGAAATGAAATCAACTTATTTATGCACAGACAAAAGTATGAACCTGGCTCAGACAGCTTCTTGGGACTCTAAGCCTCTTGCCTCCCAGACTGTGGGGTAATAAGGCTTGAGATAAATTCCATTAAGTTTTCTGGGATGAAGCTCTCCATCAAGTGACTCCAACCAATAGGCACCCCCTCTCAACACTTCATGAATTCGAAATGGTCCTTCCCAATTTGGGGACCATTTCCCAAATCTGTGATCTTTCTTGCCAAGAGATAAAATTGCTTTCTAGACCAAGTCACCAACTGCCAGATTTTTACCTTTTACCCTCTTGTTGTAAGACTTTGCAAGTTTAAGCTTTTGAGCTTGCAATCTATCCAAAGCTGTCAAACGTGTGTCTTTAAGGTCCTCAAGTTCAAGCATCATAGCCTCATCATATTCCCCATACTGGAGATTATGCTGAATCACTATTCTTAAAGACCTGACTGTTAACTCCATTGGCAAGACTGCATCGTGGCCATATGTCAAGGTAAAAGGTATCATCTTGGTAGAACTCTTTTGTCAAGTTCTATAAGCCCACAGTGTTTCAGACAATAATTCATGCCAGCGTCTGGGATTGTCATCCACCATTTTTTCAAGCAAATTAATCACCACCTTGTTAGAAGCCTCCACCTGCACATTAGCTTATGCATAATGAGGAGTAGAATTTAACAGACGAAAACCCATTTCCTTTGCAAATGCCTCCACTTGATGGCTGACAAAAACTATGCCTTGGTCTGTGGTAATTGTTTCTGGTAGACCAAATCTGTGAATAATGTCCTCTTTGATGAACTTGATTACATCAGATTGGTTTACCTTCTTCATTGGTTTAGCCTCCACCCATTTGGTAAAATAATATGTTGCCACTATAATAAATGAATGACCTTTTGATGAAGGGGGGTACACTTTACCAATCAAGTCAATAGCCCAGCCTCGAAATGGCCACGGTTTCACAATAGAATTAAGTTCAAAGGCTGGAACTCTTTGAAGTGGCCCATGGATCTGACAAGATTTGCAACCCTTAGCATAAGCAATACAGTCTTTCAAGACAGACAACCAAAAGAAACCATGTCTGCGAATCAACCAGCACATCTTGACCCAGCCTGGTGTGCACCACAAATCCCATCATGAACATCAAACAACATCTGGAAACTTTCATCTGGACCCAGACAACGTAGCAGTAGTTCATCATGGCCTCTCCTATAAAGCACATCCTCAATCAAAACATAATTGAGAGCTTGCATTTTGGTTTTCCTAGATACCTTATTGCTTTGATCCTTAAGGTACTGAATAATTGGAAAGCGCCAGTCTATCTGGGTAACATCAATGCTGCAAGTAAAAACAGTCATGCCACGTTGATGAATTGATGGCAGACTGCGTTTTTCAACTATTACAACTTTTTGCATTACACCTTCAGGAATTCGCAGACCTGAAGCAATCTGGGCCATTTCATTAGCTTCATAGTTCTAGTCTCTGGGCACATGTCTGATGGACACATCATCAAACTCTTCCAACAATTGCACAGCCAAGGCAAAATAAGGGGCTAAAGCAAGGCTAGTACATTTGTACTCACCAGACAATTGCTTCAAGCCTAGCTGTGAGTCCCCTATAACCTCAACCATGGATGCTTTAAGCTCCACCAACATCTCAAGACCAATAATCAAAGCTTCATATTCTGCTTGATTATTTGTGCAATCAAAATCCAACTAGAAAGACATCTGTGTTTTTAGCCTAGACGGGGAGATTACCACGACTCCAGCTCCAGCTCCAGCCATGGTTTATATGCTAGATCCATCAAAAATAAGTTTCCAGGGAACTAAACTTATTGAAAACAAATTAATCCCTTTTCCTTCGTCTGCCTCCACGTCCAGACATGAATGATCTGCAAGAAAGTCTGCTAGTACCTGCCCTTTGATAGCCTTCTATGGTATATACTTCAAATTAAATTCAGACAAGGCCAGAATCCATTTACCTATTCGGCCTCTTAACAAAGGACGTGACAACATATATTTGACAATATCAATCTTGGCAACCACATACACCTCAGAATAAATCAAATAATGTCTTAATTTTATTGCAGCAAAAAACAGAGCAAGACAACTTTTCGACCGAAGAGTATTTCACTTCAGTATGGGTCAAACATCGACTCAAATAATACATAGCTTACTCTTGTTTTTTTATCATTTTCCTACGCCAGCAGACATCCTATGGACTCGTCTGCGGCGGATATATACAAAATTAAAGGCTTATTTTTCACAGGCGGTACAAGTACTGGTGGTCTGGATAAGTACCGCTTTATCATATCAAAGGCAGACTGGTGGTGCTCTTCCCACTTAAAATCCGCCTCAGACTTGAGTTTCAACAGAGGAGAAAAGACTCTAGTTTTCCCAGCCAAGTTAGAAATGAATCGTCTTAAAAAATTAACTTGGCCAAGAAATCTTTGCAACTCCTTCTTGTTCTGTGGTGGTTTCGCCTCAATCATAGCCTTGGCTTTGTTCTTGTCAACCTCCAAACCACGCTCATGCACCAAGTACCCAAGGAAGTTACCCGCAGACACTCCAAAGGCACACTTTAGTGGGTTCATTTTCAAGCCATGTTGCCTCATCCGCTCAAAAGCCTTCCTCAAATGGACCAAGTGGTCTGCTTCACCATGTGACTTCACCACAACATCATCAATATAGATTTCCATGAATTTACCAATCATATCATGAAAAATTGCATTCATGGCTCTTTGATAAGTAGCTCCAGCATTCTTCAGACCAAATGGCATCACAACCCATTCAAAAGTTCCAACAGCACTTGGGCATCAAAAGGCTGTCTTAGGAACATCTGCGTATACAATAAAAATTTGGTTGTACCCACTATGGCCATCCATGAAAGATAGAATTTTGTGACGGGCTACTCCATCAACCAACGAGTCTGTAATTGGCATAGGATATACTCATCCTTTGGTGTAGCTAAATTCAAGTTTCAAAAATCAACACAAACTCTTAATTTTCCATTCTTTTTCAGCACAGGCACTACATTTGACAACCAGTCTGCATACCTGCATGTCCGAATGAATCCAGCTGTTACTAGCCGCTCAATTTCTTCTTTCACCTTCAAAGTGACCTCTGCAGACATGCGTCTGGGCGGCTGTTTATACGGTCTAAATCCTTCTGCAATTGACAGTTTATGTTCCACCAATTTTCGATCCAGACCTGGCATTTCTAAGTAATCCCAAGCAAAACAGTCTTTAAATTCATGCAAAAGTTTGACAATTTGATCTCGTGTCTGCGGCTCAAGAGAGTCACTGATAAATGTTACCTTTGGTTCACTTTTAGACCCTAGATTGATCTCCTCCAGTGGGTCTTGAACTTCAGCTTTTAAATCATCCAATTTGGCTAGGGCCAAATCCAGCTCCTCCAAAGTTATTTCATCACCTCGGTCTGCCTCCTCACCTTCATGAACAATTTCAAACCTGTCTACTTGAACTGCTTTTTCAACAAAATAGGCCGCAAATTTCTTTGTTATCTCCAACACGGCCTTTTCTCTTTCCTGTCTCAAACGAGCTTGCTTCATTAGATTTCTTCAATATTTAGTTTCCCTTTCGGCCTATAAGAAATTATTGTTGTTGGCCGAAGAAGTTCATCACAGACTTCCTCTACAACATGCTTAGACAATGACGGTCTGCTGCATGCTGTTATCCCAATTGGTTTTCCATGTTTATCCATCCCAAAAAACCGAATGGTACCAATGTCTCCTTCATAATATCTAGCCTCCACCAGGTGGGTGTTGGCTGAAAAAGGCTTATCATCTGCAGACACGACCTCTACTTTGCCTCCATTCCAAAAAATTAGTTTCTGGTGAAGTGAAGAAGGGACACACCAACTTGAATGAATCCAGTCACACCCAAAAGTGCATTATAAGTAGCAACAGTATCCACCACAAAAAACATAGACATCAGTGTCCTATTTCCCACTGTTAATTCAACAGGCAACACACCCCTTGAACGATTCACCACTCCTGTAAAATCACTAATTGTAATCTCAGTATGCATTAAATCATCAAGAGACTTGCCTATTTTGTAGAGCATGCAAGTTGGAAGGACATTGACTGCAGCTCCATTATCCACCAAGACACGGCTGATTGGAGTCCCATCCATATGAGCATTGATATAAAGTGGCCTAATGTGTCTGGCCATCTTTTCTTCTAGTTTTTCAGACACAATTTTGTCAACCATGTCCTCCTCTTTATCATCCTAAGTTGGAACAATGATTACCTCTTCTTTTGTCTGTTCTGGGAACTCACAGACGATTGGTTCCTCTTCTTTCTTGGCTTGGAAAACCAAGGGTAATGTCAGCACCAGACATGACAAATTCACTGAGAATTCCCCAAAACGAATAGTGCCATCTTCTTTTGATTCAGCTCCACGATTCCCAGATTATTCTTGTGCTTCAAAAGTTGCTTTCAAAACTCCGTTTAGACTCACAATGACAGATGCCACCTTTGGAGAGGCTGGAGATTGGTCATCCCCCTTTAGCAGATTCTGGGTTACAACCTCCTTTTTCTCTTTTCTCACCCACACCATGTTCCTTTTTGTAGGTTGGCATGGTCTGCGAGATGAACTTCCCTCAGCCTCCATCTACTTCTGTTGCCTTTTCCGCTCTTCAACCCTCTTCTGTTGCAGTCTACGCCTTAAAGTTATGGGATTCTAGGCTGGAAACTTAGGATGACTGACTTTCTCCCACAGTCTGGAAGGTAACTTAAGTGGCGGTTTGACCATCCTTGGAGCTCTAGTACCAATTGAGTAACGTCTGGCACCTTCTGGACTGAAGTTCCTGGTCACAGTGATCCTTCCTTGCCCCCCCAGCCTCTGTTGGTCTGACTTGACGCTCCTACTATGTCTGGATCTCTGTGCCTCAAGCACCCACCTCAAGTCTTCGGCAACAAGGTTCCTTTGAGCATAAGGCAGACTGCAATTTCTAGCAACGCTCCTGAGGTCTGCAACATTCACGCCAACAGACACAGCTGGAAAAGGGTCTGCATCCACTCCCATGGTTTCCTTCGCTTTGTTTGGAAATTTCAAGATACCTTTATCAATCTTTTCTTGTAAGACATTACGAAAAATAAGACAATTATCAGTAGAATGCTTCCAAGAATTATGAAATTTGCAATAATCTCTAGCTCCAATTTCAGCCACTGTCAGGATTTTATGTCCTGGCGGCAGCTTAATCAGACCACTCTTTTTAAGGTGGTCGAATATATCACTAGCTTTTGACACATCAAAAGTATACTGTTTTCCAGCCTCACCAACATAACGTCTCACAGACGTCTCAGGCTGGTGAGTTGGTCTGACAAGGTCTGGACAAACAACAGGCTTGTCTATAACAACCTCAGCCACATCAAGATCGAAATTAGGGTCACTGTAATAAGTTCCATGTGATGCAGCTTTTTTTTGAACATCTTCTTTCAGCAGATTTTCATACCGAGCCACTTTATAAGACAATTCATAGAAGTCTCGGAATTCCATCCCCTCAAATTTCTTCCGGAGCTCAATGTCCAGACCATTCTCAGCCGGCTTAACAAATTCCTGTTCTGGTAGTGCAACTCTACATTTCATTCTGGCTCTCCAGAACCTAGCAAGGAATGCCTCAGACGACTCTCCAAGCTTTTGGGCTAACCTCAACAAGTCTGCCATAGACACTTCCGGTTCACAACGATAAAATTGAGTATGAAACAAGTCCTCCATTTGCCTCCAAGAGTACACTAAATTTTGAGGCAAACTGAGGTACCAAGTAAGGGCTGTCCCAGTCAAAGAGCTAGGGAACAGTTTGAGTTTCAAGTTATCATCTCCAAACGCCTCTCCACACTGTATTGTGAAGCGTCCAATGTGTTCAATAGTGGACTGACCAACCTCACCAGAAAATAAAGTGAACTCAGGCACTTTAAAACCCCTTGGAAAATGATTTTCATGATCAATGACGTCTAGATAAGGCTTTCTGTAGGCTGGACGTACCAATGGTCTCAAGGCTGGTACATAGGTTTCTTATGCCAGATCTATTAGCTGATCTCTATTGAATAATTGAGTTGGTTGATTCTGCGGACCGCGCTGTACCGACTGAGCTGGAGGAACTTGTGGCTGGAAAAAGTCCCTCGGGTAGGGTTGATGATGAGGACCCACATTTCCCCTCATACCTGGCAGAATATAACTATGCTAAGGTTGATGGCCATGGTCTGCAACAGGAGCAACAGCCTCCATTGGTTCATGTTGTCTTTTTCCTTCACCCATGAAGAAATTCTACTGTTAAATGTTAGGATGAGGCTGATTCCCTTGCCCCCCGAGTGCTGGGATTGGGGCTTCCTGAAGCTGTTTGAGCATTTCAACGACTGGAGGAGGGATCTCAAGTCTGGGCTGTCGCACTTGCTCAACCACTTGTTCTGAGACAGCCTGCAATGTTCTACGACTTTCTTCCCTAGTTTCTCGCATCACCCTAGTGCCCTCTTTAAAGACCCGTCTCATGTCTTCTATACATTGTCTAATTAACTCTTCCTGACGTCTGGAGGATTCTACTTGACTATCAACAAGTCTCCGCATAGCCTGGTTTTGTTCTTTGAATGCTAAATTCAAACGTTTAGTCATACCTCTAAACACATTACTTGATTCAGCAAAGTCACCTCCACAGTCTGCTTCTTTCTCCTTAAATACTGGATTCCCATAGGACCGTTCTGCCAGAGGTGACATTGGGAGAAAAGTGATGGGATCATTTTCGCCCTCATAATGGACTGGACTGTCATCCGCATGCTCAGCCTGGGCTGGCTGAACCTCTTTGTCTCTGCTCTTTCTCGGTGGCATGGCTCAAGACGCTTCTGGATGTATAAACAAAGGGTCTGTGAACTTTAACTGATACACCTTGCTGGAAGTCCCACTGGGCGTGCCAACAAAGGATTGTTTCCCTAAAAATCCTCAGCCGGCCTTTACCACGTGAGTTTGGTTATTAGGCGTGCCACTTGCTTTGTCTAAAAACAAGAAAATAGGATTTTCCAGACGACCCTTCTCCTTTCCAGCGGT